TATCCGTCGCTTGAGCGAGAATTACCCCTTCGTTACAGATTTTATCGCTCAAGCGAAGAGTTTCTTCGCTTGAGCGAGAATTTACCCGAGATTACCCCTTTGTTACAGATTTACTCGCTCAAGCAAAGGTTTTCTTCGCTTGAGCGAGAGTTCATTACGCGAAATGATCGATCATAATATAAAAATGATCGATTATTTTATTATGTGAACAGTAAACAGTGCTAGTTGTGTAAATAAAGTTGCAGAGGTGCTATTTTGGAAAATATTTTTGAAAACAGTATTATTTATGAAAAAAAGTCGCTGAGTGTAACATCATTTTTTTTTCTAATTTATTTAATTTCTCAAAAATGGGAATAATTTTTTTTTCCAATATTATTTCTTTATGACAATGAACTTTAAAATTGGTCATGCGTGAATAAATATATATAAATAAGGTGTCGAACATGTTCATACATAACATTCATAATACATTGTTTTTCAAAATAACTAATCCAACAAGGATCATATTATAATTACATAAAGTTGGTACCCTTAAACGATTAGAACTTAATTTAAATTTATACATCTCAAAATAAAGCAAATCCTAACCAGAGCAGGTACCCAAAATTCCTAACTTTCTTATACAAGATCATACCCCTCCCGGAGGGCAGCCTTCTTCCATACATATGTATATGATACTCAATCAAACTGTGGTTCCTCCACCACAATTGTTCCATCATTACCTGAAATATAACAGTAAGGATGGGTTTCCTTTTCTCATCACTCCAGAACACTAAACCGAAAACTTTTCCAACCTCTACAATCTAAAACCATATGTAACATTTATAGTCAAACATTTCATTTTTTTTCAATAAAGTATCCCACACAGAAATTTCAAACAATTCCCACAAATCACATTACTCAAACTAAAAACACACAATACATGTTTGTGTTTCATTCGTTCATTTTTGCCACATTTGAAATGCTCATGCACCTAGGATACACTATCAATCCCATCTTTCAATCCATGAAAGGATCACACATAAGTACAGACAACTCTCACAAACATAACAAAATTACACACGAGCATAAATGGCTCACAGAAGTATAGATAGTTGCCGGTTGATCTGCGCATCACAGATACAATGCTTACGCATAACGATCCCTTGGCAAAAAGGCAAAGTCAAAGAGTCAAGTAGGGAGTATAGAGTGTGGCCAAACAATATGCACTCTATATTTCCCCAAGATCAATCTGATCTTCTCTTATCTCCTAAGCCCCCGGTGTATCTCCGTGCCATCCACACACATATCTCGTCACTGAGTGACACCACCAACTCTTTAACAATAATATATTTGGTAGGAACAAACTTTACATCATACAGACCATATCACTATAGACGTAATACCCTATTTTTAGATGACCAACATCTCTGACTTAGACTCAGCACATAGTACAAACAACTTATAGACATGATTTCCACTAACTACCATGATTATGAATGCATTAACTATTCATAACGTTTCTTTATACCATTCTTATTAAGCTTTATTTATTTTTCATCAATTTCAAAAATTTGACAGAGTCTCCTTTGTAATTTGGACATTTCCCAATTTACAAATACATTCAAATCAAATTTATAAACACATTTTCCTGCATCAAACAAGAACAATAAAAATTTGCCGAGAGTCGGACACTCTCGGACTCAGCACACATTGCGATCCATCAAATTTTCTAAACTCTTGTTATTCTAATCTTGTGTCCCAAAATGTCTCATTACACTATCATTCTCACATCATACATACTCATAAAATAAATAATAGGTCCAGAACTAAAGTTTTGTTTACACTTCTCTAGGAAGAAAAATCTATCATAAGCATTAGAAAAGTGTAACTTTGGAAAAATTCTTTGCCATCTAAACTAACTCCAAATTCTATGAAATTTTCCAGTCCAAAATAGATATATTTTAGGATTATAATAAAAATTATAATTCAAAATTTAAAGATTTCTAAGTCATTCAAAACTTTCCTCCATTTTCATACATTTTGAAGATTCCACTATCAGTGGCATTACTCAAAGATATATTTTTATAAAATAAAATAATGGTAATAAAATTATGAAAATAAATACACTTAACATATACCTACAATCACAACTATGATAAAAAAATTCATCTCAAAAAACTTCAATTTCGACTTTCTATGATTTTTCAAAGTTACTGAGCGAACATAACAATTCTGTTTCACCCAACTCAAAACATATTTACTTCCAAAATTTTTCATCGAAAATAAACTGGTCAGAAAATTTTGAAATAAATCACACACAAACTAGACATATAAAGGAACATGTAATCAAAATTTCAGAATTAAATACCAAGTAAATATTTTTACATAATTTCCCAAAGATTCTATTCACATGCAGATTCTTGTCCAATAACATCTCTCAACACATATTTCATCATCTTCCTCTAGAAAAATCAAATTTAAGTGATTTGTGTGTATTTCAAATTAATCTAACAGAATGTGCTTAACTGAACATGACATTTGTGTGTTAATTATGTGCTAAATTTGTATAGCCCACATTATATGCTTAACCACTTGACTATATATCATTAAATGCACATAAACATACAAGATCAGTCGAACAACACATCGGAGGAAGATACAATGCTATCACTATGAGATAAAAAGTCATGTACAATATAACATTATCACAGGCCACAAAAATTACATCATAAAGGTCTGCATCAAATATAAATTACAATTACAACAAAACCTAACAAAATAATTCATCTACACAACACTTATGTCGCCTTTTTCTTTTCCTTGAATTAGTCGTCCACGGTGTTTTGACCATAAAACTTTTATACCTTATTCTTGGATGACCTTTAAATTATTACTAAGATTAGTTATTTACTAAGATTTATGTAAAATCTTTTATACCTATAATATTAGTTATTACTAAGATTTATGTAAAATATTTAGAAAAAGATAAGAAAAAAAATTAACTTTGTCTTCATCAAATTGGTTGAAAAGACTAAAAAAGAAAACAAATTGATAACAGTGATTAAGAAAATGTGAAAACCAGAAAGGTAAGAGAGAATAATGTAATAAATTAATTGATATAAAATATTAAAAAAAATTAAAAAGTGGGTAGAAGAAAAATAAAAATTGTGATATATAAAAAAATGATCTTATATGTAATAGAAACAGAAAGGGAAATACTTTAAAAATATTAATATTTTAAAATTTAAATTTAAATATAAAGTCGGGACGGGGTCGTGGTGGTGATTGTATTACCCATCCCCGCCCCGACTTTTTAAAGTGGGGAAAATCCAAACCCGTCCCCGCTCCCGCCCCGGTCAACTCGGATTTTCCTCGTCAAACTTAGGGTAATATGGGTCTGTCCCTACGAATACGTGTTTAATTGTCATTCTAGGACAAAAGAAATTATGCATGGACTGACATTGAAAATATGAATACATCATTAATACTACTATTTAAGTTAGGTTTAATATTTTTTTTATTTAGTTGGAAAACTTATTTTAGTTAGAAGTGTTTAGTAAATATATTTTTTAAAATAGGTTATAATGTTTTTTTAATGTTATTTAAAAGTAACTGTTCTCAAAAAAGTTAATTAATAGAAGAAAGTTTATTATTATTATTATTTGAATATTTTACATTACATCATTCTTTAATTATTATATCATTTATTATTTACAATATTTATTTTATTATATGATGCGTTAAGATTTATTCAATTTTATTATTTTTAAATAGATTTTATATTATAATTTGTATCTTAACCATGATACTATTTTATTGTTTGAAACGTTATATTACAAGATATTTGAAATACTACATTAAAATTTATAACTTTTAATTCATGGACTATTTAAAAATAATTTTTTAAGATATAGCAAACATTTACAGTAAATATACAATATTAAAAAAAATATAACAATTAAAACTAAAATAAATATAATTAAAATTATTATCTATAAGTAAAAGAATACAAGAAATTATTTAATTAAATAAAATTTCCATCAAAATATATTTTTATCCATTGAATAAAATTAAAATTTATATAAAATTAATTATGCTATTAGGGACCAACTAATATTTTGATTGTTGACTAGTTTTTCAGCTACTTTTTCTTGCCAAACATAACTTAAGTACATTGAATTTCAAAACATCTAATAAATGATAATTAAAACAGAAAAATGAAATTTTGAAGAAAATTTATGAGGAGAAAAAATGGATATATATATATATATATATATATATATATATATATATGTGTGTGTGTGTGTGAAAAGTTATTATTTACATGACAACGGAGCAGGGGTGGGGGCAGATTTTGCCTCTCCGATCCCCGTCCCCGACTTTTTTAACCATTTTCGTCCCCGTCCCCAATCCCCGTCGGAGTTAGAAATTAAGTCATCATCCCCGTCCCCGCTGGGTTTCGGGTTTCCCACCCCGTCCCGTCCCCAATCTATATTATTTTCAAAAAGTAAATTACATTTATAATAAATTAATTTTACTATCTATTTTTTATATATAAATAAATATTTATAATTTTATAATTATTATTAATTAAATATACATTTTAATTTATTATATTTATATTAAAATATGTATGTAAAAGAAATATTTAATCATTTTTTATTTATAACATTATTATTATTATAACACTCGTATTCAAATATTTGAATATTTATAACATTATTATTATAATACTATATTCAAATATTTGATTATATATAAGTTAATTCATTTTTAAGATATCATTTAAAAATATGAAATATATAGTTTATAAGGAAATATTTAATAAGTTAATTCTTATTCAATTAGTTCGAAGTAATAAAAGTTTAAATTATCAATTCCTTTAATCCTTTAAAATACAATTATTTTATTAAGATAAAATTTGATATATGATAAATAAGAATAATAAGATAAAAAAATATGACATAGTATGGATAAAGGTGAATTGCTTTGTTTATGATTGTGTAGGTGAGAAGAATATGGATAGTTATAAATCAGCTAAGAAAGTGTCCAAGTTGGTAGGGGAAGAACAATTATTAGATGATGATATTGAAGTGAAAGTTGAATTTGAGATAGTGGGCGATGGAGGGTACGTTCTGAAGATGAAGAGGGTGAATCCAAGTTCAAATAATGAGGATGAGGTAGAAAGGGCTAAGAATTTGGCTCAAATGGAGCAATGTTGTACCATTACGGAGAGATTCTTCAAGACATGGGAGAGAAATTGATTTCCCAATCCAGAACATTGCTTTACTCTGTATTCAAAATGCTTGCAACTCCTAAAACAAAGTCAGATGATTAATGATCATAACTATGTAGTTTCACTGTGTTATTTTGTTTGGTAATTAATACAAGAAAACTATCAATTTGGTTTATGAATATGAAATTGTCATATGTTATCATCTTAATTTTGGGATAGCAAAATCTGCATTTCACCCTCCAACTCTCCAATAATGTGGATGGAGTGGTCCATAGTTATGATAAGTTGTAAATTTTGTTACGTGTTAAAGAAGGGATTGGTAAGTTAGTTTGCTAAAATTAAAAAAAAAATTATTATTTTTAAATTAAAATTTTTAATAAATTTAATAATAAAATTATCATTTTATTATTAATAATTAAAAAAAATATATATATATATATATATTAAATTAATAATATAAATCAATACGTTATTTTAAGAAATTATAATTCAGAATAATAATAAAATTTATATAATAATAAATATATATAAATAACGTTAAAATTTGTAAAATTTATATTTTTATATTAAAAAATTGTAAATATATATATCTTTTTTATTTGATAAATTTTACATTATTTTCTCCTTAAATAATTTTTACATCTTTAATTCAAATTATAAGAATAATAATAATCAATCCCGAGGATAAATATGGAAAAGATGACGAGTAACAAAAGAAAAGAAGAAAAGAATTTGTATCTAAATAATTAAAATGTTTCTTGTAATGAGGGAGAATGATTTTTTTAATTCTCTTTTTACAAATTTTAACTTTATATTAAATACATTACAATAAAAAAATATTTTTTTATTAATTAGACAGACCACACAGATCGATCCGTTCCATCTAAAGACGCTAGTGGATTTTGTCATATTATAACGAGGTTAAAATCCGTTAAATATAATCCATTTTTGATACCTTTCTTAAGTTTAACAAAATGTGAAAAAAAATTAGCATTATAATTTTTTTGTTTCACACTCAGAGAGTTTTATATATTCCATTATCATTCATAAAAAAAGGTAAAAAAAGTTTGATAAATCTTTTTTTTTTTTAATTCGGAGTCTTGCCCTTGGAATTACTCTATCACTTGTTGTTTTCATCACCGACCTAAATGCACATGAAACATGAATACTTTCCTATTCGTGTATTGCAACTTGTTGTTTTGTATAATAAAGGCAAGTAGCAAATAAACGAAATAAAATATTAAAAAAGGAAGAATAATTGAAATAAAATAGATTATTATTATTTTATATTTGAACTATCAATATATTTATAACACTTACAATAAAAAAAATTAATTGATTTTTTTTAAGTTCAAGAATAATTACTTAAACTAGAGAAAACTTATTCTACCATTAAAATAGAAAAATATAATATAAAGATGTCACGTGTAATCTAAAAATAAATATTCAACACTTTACCTTTATTTAGAAACTATAACCTCCAATATCTTAAAATTTTAGTTTTAATTTGTCAAATTTTGAATTGTTTTCTATAATACTGTGAATATATATTGTATGCTGGCTGGATTTTGTTAGATTAATTTGAAATATACCCTGAAATTGTGGTGTATCAGGTACAAATTATGAGAAAAAAAAATTGGAATTTCAAAATTTAAATAATTTTTTTTTTAAATTGGGACTTTAGATAGCGGTTCTAGAATTAACCGCTATTCAAAGTATATTTTAGATAGCGGTTAGCATGGAACCGCTATTATATTATAAAAAAATTTAGAAAAAAAAGATATATATCTTTTTTTAAGATTTAAAATGGAAAATAGAATATTAATATTTCATTAATATAATAGCTGTTCCACTATAACCGCTCTTAAAGGTGTATCGGATATCGCTCGAGCGAGAAAAAGTGTCGCTCAAGCGAAACACAACCCGAGAATCCCCAATCTTAGCAGGTGGTGTCGCTCGAGCGATGTAAATTTCGCTTGAGCGAATGTTGACCTGGGGCTAAACGTCGATCAAAGTTAGCCGCATAATGTAACATTGGTGACCACATGTTTGAATCGGATATCGCTCGAGCGATAGTTGTGTCACCCAAGCGAAATACAACCCGAGAATCCCCAATCTTAGCAGGTTGCGTCGCTCGAGCGATGTGAATATCGCTTGAGCGATATTAGAAAAATCAGATAAAATGATCGATTATTTTTTGTTATAATCGATTATACGTTATGATGATCGATTATAAGTGGTATATGATCGGTTATATTATGCTAATAGATTATAATATTAATTTATCTGTCATGATTAAATGTAAGCGACAATAAAGTCGCTCAAGCGGACCTTACGTGTAACCTAAAGGCAAAATCAGTGAGCGACGCCGACAGTCACCTGTTTCACATCTCGTGCGATAGAAGCACCGACGTTGAAGAAATTTGTTGATTGTTACCTTCTTCTCGCCATCAATCTCCTCCATTATCATTATCTATCGTTTTCCTAAGCTGCATTTTTACTGGTTCAAGTAAGTGCATTCTTCTCGTTTTGTGCCTATGTTCATGTTAGTCTACAATTTTCATGAATTTTTTGTTGAATAATTGGTTCGTTAGTCTGTTTAATTTGTAAATAGTTTGTTATGAAAGTGGTGTTGAAAGTCTTTTTCCACTTGTTGGGTTACAATATACAAATCTGGTCACCAACTGTTTGATCAAATGGCACAATGAATAGGGTTAAATTTTAGCTACATAAAATAGGCACTTTCGTGGCTAAATTTTAGGTTAGGCTTTGTAATACGGTTCATAATGCCTCCTAAACTTGTGTTTGGTTTTGTATCTTTGCATGATGTAAGCAGGTAACCTAGTGTATTGTAATATGAATATAATTTAAAGGAGATGGTTGCATGCATGACCACATTGAATTACCCTAGGTGGCTGGGTCCGCAACACATCAATATGTTGGTGAAGAGATTAAATGGCCCATACACGACCATACACAAGGTCCCTCAGTCTTTCATTTCCCTCATACACCATCCTACTTACTGCATGTCGTGTTTGATATGTAATAATTGATATGTAAATTTCCGTTGAGGATCACTATATTATTGATATGATGAAAAAGTTGTCTTCAAAATTAATGTAGAAATACACCGATAACATTCATTCAACTTTTAATAGTTATTCTTGCTTACAATATTATATCATATGCTTGAACGGTATGTTCCCTTTTTTTTCTTTATTCTGTTTGTTCTTCTTCTTTTGTCCTGTATTACATCATGTATATTATATCGTGGACTCGTCCTTATTTATTGCATAATCTTTTTTTAGCAGTTATTGAGATCTTCAAATTATCTTGTGTTAAACTTTTTAACAAACAAGTGTTGCTGATGGGACCAAGAAAGGACAAACAAGTGGCTACCTCTTCCAGAGGTCGGGGGAAAAGATTTAGAAGGGGTGAATTGGCTGCCGTTTTCAACAGGAACATCTTCATAGATGAGCATACCCAGCAGAGGTATGAGATGATGCAAGGTTGGAACTTCAACGCTGAACGGCGAGTGGAACTAAAAGAAGGAGAATATACTGAATTTAATAATGAGATTACACGAAGAAAATGGAGGATACTTGCAGAACCAGCGTCGAAGTTTGATGCCGATGTGGTAAAAGAATTTTATGCCAATGCTTGGCCTTCTCAAGAAGGATGTCACCAAAAAAGGTCAAAGGTTAGGGGAAAGTGGATATCTTATGACCGGGACACAATAAATGAATTTCTTGGGAGTCCCATGGAATTGAATGAGGGTGAAATATGTACATATGAAAGGATACGCAGAGCGAGGGGCTTAACAGAAAGAAAATTTGACAATGATGCGGTAGCCCAACTTTTGTGTATTCCGGGGAGGACCTATGAGACAAATCATGCTTGGGAAACCATTGAGGATCCTGCGGCCAAATATGACCACAATAACACAAATTTGGACTTCTTTTTTGTTAGCCAACATTGTACCCCTCAAACACAGACTCCGATCTTAACATGGCGAGATGTTACATGGTTTACCGCATTTTGAATGGATATTCCCTTGATGTGGCAGGCTTAATTTCTAAGGAGATCCACCATTTTGTGATGCAGGAAAGCGGACCACAGACTCGGACAAGCAAAGGCTTTGGGTTTCCCTTCCTTGATCACAGCCACGTGTGCAGCAAATGGGGTAGATGTCAACCCATCACACAAAATCGGGCCACCTATTGATATGAAATTCGTTGATAAATATTGTGTAAATCGCCTTGAGCAACAAGTACAGGCACCCCAGCCCCAACCACATCGTACAAGTGAACAAAGGGAAGCCTCCTCCTCGCAACCACAACCACAATCTGACTTAACTGATTACATGCGCCGATTGGAGGTGCACATGACACATGTTCAAAGTCAACAAGCTGCCATCCATAGGGGTCAGTCGGTTTGAATGAAAGTTTCCACGAGATATTCTATAAGCACGCATAGTCCGGTACCTTGGCCTACCGTAGATGAGTTTCGTGCACTTGTCCAATGGCCTGGGGACCACCCTGATTTTTCACACAGGTGAAGTGGAACCATCAAATGAAGGAGATGATACAAGCATGTCTTCAGGAGATGACGATGATAATGATGATGAAAATTTGACCGACTCTGAAGAAAGTGGTGAAGATTGAGGAGGAGCACATGTACTAATTTAGTGTAGGTGGCGATGTAGTAATTTAGTGTAGGTGACCATGTATTGGTCGTTAATGTAATTTATCACCATGTATTTGTTACATATATATTAACTCCTGACATTCATTATTAATGACTCAATTATATAATTAAGGCTGGCCTTACTTGTTTACATATGTATTTCTGTTTATGTTTTTTTACATATGTATTGCTGACCTCAATTATTAATGACTCCTGACATTTCTGTATTTCTGACTCAATTATATAATTGTACTGTATTTTTGTTTTTTTACATATGTATTTCTGTTTATGATACGAACCTTACTTGTTAATAACGGTTATTATACGAATAAAATCTGATAAATTGCACAAATGGCTGATTTCAAATCGTTTACATTACAACCACCCAATGTCATACTTTGCCAATATAATTCATGTATCCGGTCATACATAAACATAACATAAACAAACTGAAGTGATTCAATATTTTAACTTCAAAGTTGACTTGACTTAGAAGACATCACAATTATAGAATGACAATATGCTTTGAAGACCTAAGTAAGGTGTAACTTGACTTAGAAGACATCACCCAATTATACTTTTGAAATATACTTAGTCTATTTTCTCAGTTCTATTTTCCTTGCACAACTTTTCCTTTTGATTAGTGTTGATTTCTTTTTCTTCTTCAAAATTTCCTTGGATTATTTTTTTTTTACAAATGAATCTCTTTAACTAAATAAACCTTATCTTCTTCTTTTTTCTTCATAGTCTTGGGATTATTCAACATATATTTATTATTGTAAGAAACTATTTTAAAAAGTTGATTTAACATTAAGTTGATAAATTTCTGAGCAACTACACTAAGTACCAATCTAAAGGTGTCAAATCGAACGATCGGTAAAACATGTCTAAATAGTTTATACAAAAAAATATATGCATAACCTTCTACCATGAGTCATATCTTGTGTTTGTTAATAGACCCGCGAACATATAGCTTAATTAACACCCACCTAACTCTAATTACTTTTCTACCTTGATGTTTTCCACAAGAATATAATTTTGATTTGTCTCCATCATTGATAACTCCTCCTTTGTTGTAGCCATCCAATTTGAAAATTTCTTTGCTTTTTCATAATTTGCAGGTTTGCACGTAGAAACATTGCATTTTTCATAAATTTGAGATGACAATATGGTATCTCTTACTAGAACATCATCCACTAATTCATTTTGCAATAGCTTTCATCTTCATTTTATTTTGTGTTTGAGGTAGAAGGTTTAACTCCAAATTTGTCTTCTTTTTATATTCCCAATTCCATTCTTCATCTTCCACAAAGTGAACATCCATGCTAATAACAATTCTATACTTAGAACTGGACTCACAATTCATCATGCTTGATTATCATCAAGCACCTAAGACTTAAGTAAAATTAGGTTGAACATCTTATGTCATGTTCTTTGAAATAGATCCAAGACTCAAGAACCCGCTTGAGCGGTGGTTGACTGTAGGCTATACGTCGAACAAAGTTAGCCGCATAATGTAACATGGGTGAGCACATGTTTGAATCAGATATCGCTCAAGTGAGAATAGTGTCGCTGAAGCGAAATACAACCCGACAATCAAGTACAAATATATTGTATGCTGGATGGATTTTGTTAGATTAATTTGAAATATACCCTGAAATTGTGGTGTATCAGGTACAAATTATGAAAAAAAAAATTGGAATTTCAAAATTTAAATAATTTTTTTTTAATTGGGACTTTAGATAGCGGTTCCCAGAATCGCTATCTAAACCTACTAAAGAGAGGGTTAACCTGGAACCGCTATTATATGTCCACTTTTAGGACCGCTCTTAGAAGTGAATCAGCTATCAGTGTCGCTCAAGCGAAACACAACCCGAGATTCCCCAATCTTAGCAGGTGGCGTCGCTCGAGCGATGTCAATTTCGCTTGAGCGGTTGTTGACCGGGGCTAAACGTCGATCAAAGTTAGTCACATAATGCAACATGGGTGACCACATGTTTGAATCGTATGTCGCTCGAGCGATAATCTTGTCGCTCAAGCGAAACACACCCCGAGAATCCCAATCTTAGCAGGTGGCGTCGCTCGAGCGATGTGAATTTCGCTTGAGCGATATTGTAAATATCAGATAAAATGATCGATTATTTTAGGTTATTATCGATTAAACGTTATGATGATCGATTATAAGTGGTGTATGATCGATTAAACCATCAAATTAAAATTCAAAACCGAAATCAACAACCATATTAAACCCTAAACCAAATGAACAGAACCCAATATTAAACATCGACGAACCAGAGCCGGGAGAGAACGAACGCCGGGAGAGAACGAACGTTTCTTTTGCGTGCGCCGGCGAGAGAGATGCAGGGCGAAATTATGTAAAACTATAATCGCTTAGCGCAAACTATGATCGATGTTCTCCAACTATAATCGATCATTCTCAATTATAATCGGTTATCGAAAATTATGATTGAATATTATCCAATTATAGTCTTAGATAGCGGTTATTTGCCTAAGCGCTATCTAAACTACATTTATTAGATATAAGGGAGCGGTTATATAAAAACCGCTATTATAAACATACGTTAGACAACAGTTTACGGCTAACCGCTATCTAATATTTATTTTTAAGATGTCGCTCAAGCGAAAAACACATCGCTTGAGCGAGGACACCTGGAATAATGGGGGATTCTCGGGTTCTGTGGTTCTATTTTTTGTATCATTAATCCCCAATTGTACTTTTTGCAAGAGTTCATGAATAGCGAGTAATTTAGTAAAAAAGAAATGTAGTTGTTTTTTCTCTTCGTATTACAAACCAAAATTGTGAAAAACAGCCATTATACATGCATGGCTAATGGCAAACCATGAATTATCAGTTAGCCTGATGATTACAGAAATCCATAAAAAACATAGGGTAAGAAGACAGGGAAGCAAACATAGATGCTTGTATTAATAAAGGTGTTACTGTTAAATCAATTCAATCGAGGTTACCTGCAAATGCAGAACTTCTGATAGCGGTTTCTTCTTCAAGTGTGGAATAGTAAGAAGTTGGGATGGTGTTTGTCCAAAATAAGCAATCTGATCTTGTGTGGCATGCTGTTGCACCTTTACTTATCATGCAGAGGAGGAGTAACAAGTTACAAAAACATGGATAAATTATTTGTTGAGGTCTGATGCTTTTAATATGACTTTAGTATTTTTTCAAAAATGTACTCCACATTAAAATTAATAGTGCATAAATCTTCCATTTTTTAAGTCATAAAATTTGCGTTATATCACCCATGTTAGAGATATTTCTCTTTTATGTTTTGTAATTCTCTATTTAGCATATATTACTGATTTTAATAGATAACTAGATTTATTACTAAGTGTACTTTTTCTTTTAGTACCAATATATCTTTCTTTCTTTTAATATGGTATAAGAGAAATATGATCTATGGCTTCAAAAACCATTCTACCACCTTCCCCTCCACCACCTGTAATCACTCGGGCAACACCCTTGCAAACCCACACTACTTCCAGTGATAGTGGTTCTTTCATCTTGGTCCAGCACAAACTCTGGTCACAGTTTCTCATCATAGTTTACAGAAACTCGATGATAATAATTTCTTGCTATGGCCTCAACATTTTATGCATCATTTTCTTGTAGCCCGGATAATTCTTTCCCTTTTTTTTTGGATCAAGATCTTCTTGATCACGTGAATTCATATTATCTTGTTTGGGAACAACAAGATCACATGTTGTTAGCTTGGTTACAATAGTAATTCTTGCTCATGTTCTTGTGTGTATCTATTCTTATGAAGTTTGGAAGAAGATTCATTCCTATTTTCATCGTCAAACAAGAACGAAAGCGAGACAACTAAGGTCAGAGTTCGTAATTCTTCTGTTGATATAGAAGTTTACCACAAGAAACTCTCCTTTTTTCAGAGTTTTATTCACAAAATCGATTCGATCTTTTCTCTAAAACAGCAGCTTAGTAATCTCGATTACTTTCTTGGTATAGAAGTTTGTCCTCAATCCAATGGGTCTCTCCTTACGACTCAAAATAGATTAAAGATCTTTCTAAGACTAACATGCTTGAGGCTAAGCCAGTTTCTTCTCCTATGATTTAACTTTCTAAACAAGGTTCTTATTTATTGTTAGATCCTTCATTTTACAGATCTGTAGTGGGTGCTCTTCAATATCTCACAATCACCTAAGTCGAGATATGTTTTTCTGTTAATAAAATCTGTCAGTTTATGGCAGCTCCTCTTGAATCCCATTGGACCACGATAAAATGAATACTTAGATATCTAAAGGTACTCTTCATTGTGGTATACAAGTTATTCTAACTATTGCTAATCAATCTATAATGATTAAAGGTTTTTGTGATGCAGACTGGGCTGTTGACCTAGATGAGTCGGTCTAGCTCTAGAGTTGCAATTTTTCTTGGTCCTACTTTAGTTTCATGGAGGTCTCGTAAGAAAACTGTTGTTGCTATCTAGTACAAAGGTAGAATATTGGAGCCTTGCCTCAGTCACCACCAAACTTCTTTGGATTCAAACACTTCATAGTGAATTTGCTATACCTTATTGTGTTCCGATTGTGTATTGGTATAATCTCAATGCAGTTAATCTCTCTCTTAATCCCATCCTATATGCAAAGACAAAACATAAGGAACATGATATTTTCTTTGTTCAAGAGAGAGTGCTTGCTAAACAACTTGTTGTTCAACAAACATATTCTAGGTCATGATCTTATGGCAGATATTCTTACTAAACGGCTGTATACTACAAGATTTCTTTTTCTCGTATCCAAGCTCACAGTGGTTGATCTACATGATGTATCTCACCCATCTGGAGAGCTTGTCGGAGTGGTATAGAGATATTTCTCTTGTTAGGTATATTACTCTTTTATGTTTTCTGTCAGTTGTAATTTAGTTACAAAAACAGTTCCTAATTTTCTGTCTAATGGGTTTGTAACAGAGAATTACATGTCTTACTGATTGTTCTTTTTCTTTTAGTATCAATATATCTTTCTTTCTTTCTTTCTTTCATTAAGAAGTTCACATATAGACAGCAATGGCACAAGGGATTATTTTTCCATCTCATCTTTGTAACAGAGAATTGCATGTATTACTGATTGTTCTTTTTCTTTTAGTATCAATATATCTTTCTTTCTTTCTTTCATTAAGAAGTTCACATATAGACAGTAATGGCACAAGGGATTATTTTTCCATCTCATCTTTTACCCAAAAAGAGAAATGGATATTTTCCGCATCTAATCTTTTCTATTTTCCTCAGTTTCTCTGCAACTTGTATTGGTCACAAGGATTGCCTTGTTTATATCATGCTTAAGCAGTCAAGTTCATGTATAATAGCAATTATGTAACAATCACACATACAAGTGACAAGCAAAACTATAATTATCATGTACTTTAATCCTTCAACCAAAGGTAGTTCTGATATGATAATTGATTTAAGGATATTTTCATATTTTGTTTCAGGGAGTTGGAATTTCATGTTACATAGACAACAAGATGAATTGAAAATATGAAGATGAACAGAGACATACTGGGTCAAATATTTTATCAATATCCACTGTCCCTTCATAGGTAATGTAAAAGAAAACATTATTTGCTGCAATAGCCTCTTTGCCCTGTTGTTTATACCTGCATGGTTAAATCCTTTTAATATAACCATATGGAAATTTAAAAAGGAATATTATAGATATCTACATTGAAAATGCTAGGAAAACTAAGACTCATGAATAAACAGAAAGAAGCCTTGAAGTATGATTGGACTCCAAAAGATTGGGGAGAAACTGAAAGTAGAAGAAAGCCTACCCAAATATGAGATCAATCCACTCATGCAAATTAGCAGATACATACTCGCTCTCCAGAGCCATCCTATGCTTGTGCACAAAATCAACTGGACTCTCAGCCCAAGCAGGAAGTTTTACAGTATCTGGCATGGCAATCGTAATTCACAAGCAGAAATAGCTTTAATATGCACATACATGTAACTACAATGTCTTCTTAAAAAGAAAATGGAGAAAATCTCGATGAGTAGACCGAGCTTTCCTCCCAACTGTGTTGTGCCAAAATCAATTGAATTTTCATTTGTGAGGACCTCCGGGAGGTAAAATAGCTCAGGAACCTAATTTAACATTAAAAGAGGAAAAATAAAAGCTTAAAATATAAGTTTCAAGAAACCTGTTAAAATCATGTGAAAATATAAGTACTAAAAACATTGAAGTTGCTAAGGGAAACTGGAAGTCTTTAACATGCAATTGCAAAGAAATTTAATGTACAACCATTCAAGAAAATCAATCATTCTGTTGTGGGTACTTGAAGAAGTCTCTTCTGAGTGGGTGCGCTTGGAGCTTTTTCTTTTGCCAGCCATGGTTTATGTTTACGACTATTGAGATAGTCAACAGTGAACGAAAACAGAGAACAGAGAATCTGCGAGTAATTAGAAAACAAAGAATACATTAACCTCGATGGTTGCTGTATGCTTCTTCTTTACAATGCAAACGAAATCAAACAAGATGAACCATCAAATTAAAATTCAAATCCGAAATCAACAACCATATTAAACCCTAAACCAAATGAACAGAACCCAATATTAAACATAGACGAACCAGAGCCGGGAGAGAACGAACGTTTCTTTTGCGTGCGCCGGCGAGAGAGATGCAGAGCGATATTATGTAAAACTATAATCGCTTAGCACAAACTATGATCGTTGTTCTCCAACTATAATCGATCATTCACAATTATAATCGGTTATCGAAAATTATGATCGATTATTATCCAATTATAGTCGATCACTTTGACATATATGACTTGAGATAGCGGTTATTTGGTCAACCGCTATCTAAACTACATTTATTATAGCTCTTCAAAAGCATGATATAAGGGAGCGGTTATAAAAAAACCGCTATTATAAACATACGTTAGAAAGCGGTTTAAGGCTAACCGTTATCTAATATATACTTTTAAAAGCGGTTCTTATCACCCGCTATCTATGGTCGCTCAAGCAAAAAACACATCGCTTGAGCGAGGACACCTGGAAAAATTGGGATTCTCGGGTTCTGCCTCGCTCACGCGACGATATCATCGCTTAAGCGAAACGTGATTCTTATATGTGGTAAACCGAGTTATATGGCTAACTGCGTTGGACGTTTCGATTGTGGGTCAGTCCTCGCTCAATCGAGGATGACATCGCTTGAGCGATGGAACCTTAACCAATGGGGACCCTCGGCTTCCGTCTCGCTCAAGCGAGGTTTCGAACGCTTGAGCGAGAAGTGATTCTAATATGTGGTGAACCTAGTTATATTATTTGGCTAACTGCGTTTGACGTTTCGTCATTGGGTCAACACTCGCTCAAGCGACAAATACATCGCTTGAGGGACGAAGCCTTCAAACAAAGGGGACTCTCGGGTTTTGTCTCGCTCAAGCGACGGTTGTACTTGCTTGAGCGACAAGTGGTTCTCATATGTGGTCAACCAAGTTGGACGTGGTGTCATATTACGTTGCTACCTGCGTTGGACGTTTCGTCTACGGCCAACACTAGCTCAAGCGATAAATCCACGGCTTGAGCGAGGTACCCTTACAAAAAATAGGTGGCAAGTGATTCAAATATGTGGTTATCCATGTTACAGTATGTGGCTACCTGCATTGGACATTTCGTCTGTGGCCAAGGCTGAACTTGAATGAGACGTGACATGCAAATTTCAATCTGTTTTTTGTTAAGCGCATGCTTTACAACTATTAAGCATGAAGTTATCTGTTATGTACAAAGATGATACGTAAACCTATACATCTTTCCTACAATAAATCTTATCACTTGTACAATTTCCATATGCTACTTTATATTGTTCTCTTCCCTTGTTCTTTTAATCTGAATTTCTTCTTTTATATTACTGTTAGTGGGAAATCGTTGAAAGGATCGAAAAACGAAGGAAAGAAAAAATCGAAGACCATACGATTGGTAAAAGACATTGAGAACGTATTTTCGATGAAATTGGTAAAAGCTGGTAACCACAAAGATAAAAGTACATCGAGGATCAAAATCGAGAATCGAAGAAACAAATTTTGATGCCTATTGTTGAAGTTAGAATAGTACAAAATTAAAGGGAATCAAAAGCAAAATTTAAAATACTTGATGTCTGAAATCGAGATCGAGGGAGCAGTTAACACACACAGGGAACGTGGGAAACAGTTTCTAAACTGCAACAGAAATCGAAGGAGGAGCAGTTCCCTTATACGTAAGAACGTGGAGTGCAGTTTTTAAAAACGGTAAGACTAAAGGAACGGGCACGTAAGATCGTGGTGATAGTGGTATTAACCACTCTTGGGAGGTTACTTGAAGGATGCTCTATAAATAGAGCGAAGACTATAAAAGAAGGGGAAATTGGCAGAGAGAACAGAAATACTAGTGAAAAGTCTACTGGAGAACGACGAAATCATGAAGTTTCTGGCGATCTGGATTTTCTTTTTCATTGAGTGTCTTTACCGCTTTCTTTACTTTCCCTGGTAATTTACGTTCATGCAATTTACTTTGATACAATTTGTGTTCATGCAATTTAAGTTTCTGTATTTCCAATTTGCAATGTAAAATTCCGTACTTGAAATTTTCTGTCATTTAATGCTTATGCGATTTCGATTTTCTGTCATTTAACGTTCATGCAATTTCGATTTCCTGTCATTTAACGTTTATGCGATTTCGATTTCCTGTCATTTAACGTTCATGCAATTTCGATTTCCTGTCATTTAACGTTTATGCAATTTCAATTTCCTGCTATTTACATTTCTGCAAATTCAATTCCTCGTCATTTACACTTAATGCAAATTTGAGGTTTCTGCATCTTACATTTCTTTGTAATATTCTGTACTGTTTTTCGATTTGACATTTTATTGCTTTCTTTACTTCGAGTGCTTTAAATACAAAATACCAAAAAACAGCATTTTCGATTGTTAATCTGCACATTAGGTTGCGTTGTTAGTATTTTCAAACATCATGATTTTCGATTCTCATACATATTTCGATTGAAAATCGTTTGCTAGCCTAAGTAGAAAGAATCTATGTGGTTGGAATTTGGTTAGAACTAAATCCTTTAAAAATCGAAATCGATCAAAATTCCACCAGAAACAAATTGACGCGCCAGGTAGGGGTCATTTGTGTCGAAAAAACACAAAATTGGTTAGTTCGAAAGTGTATGAGATTAAGGAGTGGGCGAGTAATAAGAATGAGTCAGAATCCACCAAATAACCAGAGTAACAGTGAGGGTTTGAACAGTCTGAATGGTTCACATCCACCAAACACTGGGGGGCAAGGGCATAATGGGAATATGCCTGTAGTATCGACAACCGCGGGTATGTCGATACCTGTGAGTAATGAACAAAGTTCAGGTACATTAGTAAATACTCAAGTAGGGTCTAGTACTGTGATACCACACAATATGCAAACTATGGGAAACCCCATAACAACATATGCAGGGCCATATATGAGCGTAAGACCACCTGATTTTTCGCTTAATAATATGAGTGGGGCTGGTACTTCTCCAGTACAATGAAATTCGAGATTTAACTTAAGAATGCCTCAAAACTTAGGTACATTTCAAACTCTAGGTATGCTGCAAAATTTCGGAGTATCTCCAAATTTAGGGGCGTCTCAAAATTCAGTAACTCCCCAGAATTCAGGTACACAACAGACACCTCCAAACATAGATCATAGAGCAAATCTGGATCATGGGAGATATACATTCGATAGAGATTATCATCGGTCCAACTTCGATACTATCGAAAATGCTAGTACTGGAATCTCCAGTAACTCATTAGGAGTACTTAGACAACAAATGGATGAAAGCAATTTTGAGATGGTTAATATGTTGTCACAACAGTTGACTACAGTCCTAAACCCATTAGTTCAAAACACTACTACTAGTTTTGAGATATTAGCAGACCAAATGGCCCGTATCGGGGATGCATTGGCCATACCTCGACAAACGAGAATGGAAAATCATGCCAATCAGAGCATTAACCAGAACGCTAATATTAATCCTCCTTATTTATTAAGGAGAAATCGACACAATTATCAACATCAGAATATGGGGAACGAATATCAGCATGTGAGGAATGATATTTATGGAAATCTGAATGAGGGATTTCAGAACATGTATAATCAAAATAACATGCAGTACAACCACATGCCAGGGAAAAGGATGAACCCTCAAGGGGTAGAACGCTTTCACTTGGTTTACTTTGTTGCCACCCAATTCGATATATATTTGGTTGCAATTGGAAAGAAATTTTCATGAGCAATTCTTCAGAGGGGAGACCCAAGTAAGTCTCATCGACTTAATGAATATAAAGAGATACAATCATGAAAGTATAGACGATTATTTGAATAGATTTAGACAGATGAAGTCAAGATGTTTTACTCAAATTCCTGAATATGAATTAGTCAGAATGGCCTCTGCAGGTTTAGAATTCTCGATTAGGAAAAAGTTGGTTAATTTACCATTGAATGACATGGCTCAGCTAGCTGATAAAGTGAGAAGAGTGGAACAAATCGAATATGAAAAACAAAGGTATAAGAAATTTGAGAAACCCATGAAGAAAGAAAGAGTAGCATATATAAATGATGTGTATGAGACAGATCCCAAGACAGAAACTGATATTGAAGAAACTGTCGATGAGAAAGTAAATATAGCAGAGCTCAAAGTAGGAGCTCCATATATTTGTAAATTGCTACAGAAAAATGAAGTAAAAGACAAAATGGCAAATCGAACGTATACTTTCGATGTAACAAAAGCCGATAAAATTTTCGATATTTTATTGAAAGATAAGCAGATTAAGTTGAGTGATGATCATAAATTGCCTTCTGCAAAACAAAGGAATGGTCGAAAATACTGCAAATTCCATAATATTTATGGACATTGGACTAATAATTGTATACATTTCAGGAACA